GGATCGAGGGATTTTGGCATTCATATGCCGCATGCCCTGCTTCGCCACACCGGCGACAGGCTGCGCGTGGGTTGGCGATGGGGGTCGTGATCATGCGATGTGCTACCTCGGGCTTTGTCGTACTCACTGGGTTGGATGGCTGTCTTCTTGGTGAGTCTGCCGAGTTCCAATGAGGCTTCCGGAATGGTGTCCGATTGGAATCGTCGCTCCTCTGATCTGTCGTAGGCCGTGCGTATCTGGGCGTGTGTCGTGGTGGTGCGAGAGTGCTCGGGATGGTCCGCTCTTGAATACTCTCAAACTCTGTGGCCAGCAGTGTTAGCTGTGACAAGTCCTGCAGTTCGTGGCGGCGCACGTACATCTGGTAGGCTGGGAGGGCGTTGTCGTAGATCCTGGTTAGCTCCTTGGTTGCGTCGTACCCAGCGTGGTGCATAAGTAGACGTATCTCGATGAGGAAATCTTTGAACAGTTCCCCAGCCAATTGCTTTCGGGCTCGGATCCGGTCTTCTAATTGTTCAAAATACCGTGGTGGCAAGATGAACGTTAAGAATTCCTGGCGGAAATTTTCCCATGAGGAACTTTGTAGGCGGCTGGTGCGGAACCAACGACTGGCACGGTCTGTGAGAAGTTCGGCCATGGCCCGCGGCAGATGGTTTGTGTCCACCCCATACGAGAGCGCGCGTTCTTCGAGCAGTTCGATGAATGATAGAGGGTCATCTTGGCCGTCAAACTGGATTCCCCACTTTCGGATGCGTTCCGCCATTGGTGCAGCGTGGTTGTAGTGGTGCCCTTCCATGGGTCGGTCGATCGCTGGCAAGATCCTTGGCACGGGTGCTGGGTGGGTCTCTGTACCTAGGGGCCTTGGAAACGGGGCAGCAGGAGTGCGGTATTCGGTGGCTGCGGGGACTCGTAGTCCAGTCTTAGGATCCATTTGGAGAGTGTCGGATGGTCCAGGAGTAGTGGGCCGTGGTGACTTGGAACGAGAGCGTGAGGCTGGCTTGGCATAGTGCCTCTCGAACTCTCCTAGGCGGACCCAGGCTTCTTGCGCGAGTGGCCCGGCGACTAGAGCGGCAAATTTCCTTCGGCGTTCATCGACCGTTCCTTCGCTGCCGAATCCGAATTCTTCGGCGAGGACTTCTAGTTCATCCCGACGGAGTTTGTGGATCCAGCCGGTGCTGACCCCTGGATTGGGGAGGAGGTATGCCTCCTCTGGTTGTTCATCGTCGTGATGTTCCATGTTGATTTCTGTTGATTTTTGGCACTGAGTCACTGTTAAACGGCACTTTTAGGATCGGCACTGCGTATACTTTCGCGTTTGTTTTAGCGCCCGGATTATGTAAGTGCGCGGACTTGTTATCGATTCAATTTCCTTTTTGATGGCAGTGGGTCTTTAATCCACGAAGTCCCTGATTTCGGTTTTCTTGAAGTTTCCACGAAAAATCCTTTAAAGTCCCTGCTCGGGCGCCACTTGTAATGTCCTATTTCAGGCTGAGGTATGCATCAGTCTGTCCAGGGTCCTGAATTACAAGATATTTATAATTCACGAGGACTTTATCGGGAAACCAGGAACTTTGCCAGAAAATTGTACTACGACGCGGATGGTGATTTTGACTGCCTCTCGCGATGGCTGATTGACTGCCCCCGACGATGGCTGGTGGACTGCCTCCGACGATGGCTGGTGGACTGCCCTTTTCTTCATGCAAGGCAGTGCCTTTTATAGATCGGCCGGCCTTCGATTTTCCCATGAATGTCTTACAGATATCTTATTTCTACTCCAGAATGTGGAAAGGGTTCTTACATAAATATATATTGCCGAATTATAGTCTGCGCGTGCAGACGGGCTGATCGGTAACAGAAGGTTACCTAATCATTAGCCCTGCAGTCAGTGTCCAATATCCCCGGTAAGGAGAGTCGGAGACTGCTGACTGGCTTGCGCATGTGGCGGTTTTGCCCGGTAATCGAGGGTTACCTAAGCAATCGCCTCCCAACAAGTGTCCAATGTACCAGGTAAGGTGATCGGTGTGCACCGGTACCGTGGGAAAGGAATTTCGTTGGCACTTCGGGAATATATATTGTTAGGAATATTTATTTATTTAATATTATTTAGGTACTTATTGCGTAAGCCCCTTCTGCTGGTCTCCTGTCTTTTGGCGTGTGCTGAGTTTGCATTTTGGCTGGGTGTTGATCGCTTCACCTGGGAGTAGCGTTGGCTGCGTCATCTGCTTGTGACGAACCATGGGATCCATGGTTCGTTACACGGTATACTTATGCAGTCTGTCTTCTAAGGACAGTTGTAATTTGATGACGCCTAGATTACCGGCTTCTAAAGTAAGCCTCTTGAAGAATTGTCCTAAGTCAATTTTCTCGTTAATAATCAGGTCATTCACTATAAATTGGCTATGAAATCTTTTCCCTTTTTTTAATAGTAAATTCGGAAGGGTCAGAATGAGCTCGAAATGTCGTTTTACTTCTTTTTTGGAACCTTAAGACTTTCTTTGATACTCTTATTAGGAGTGTTTTTTATTTTTAATTTCTCGGCTTCCGACCGTGTTGTCATTTTGAGTATTTGGGCTTCCTTGGTAGCTAAACTTTTCAAATCTGATATTTCTATGCGGGATAGAGCATCCGCTACATAGTTTTCCTTCCTTGCTATGTACTCTACCACAAAATCATATTCTTCTAAATCCAATCGCATTCCTGTTAATTTAGACGAGGGGTTTTTCATTGAAAATAAGTATGTTAATGGACTATGATCGGTTTTTTACAAAAATTTGGTACCGTATAGGTATGGTCTGAAATATGTGATTGCCCAGAGAATGGCTGCTAATTAATTTTCTGTTGTTGATTTATTAGATTAGCCTTTTGTGAATGCCTTAGATTCATATGGAACTGGTAGTTGTTTACCATCGTACTCTTGACTTAGTACTGCTCCACATGCGAACCCGCTGGCATCTGTGGTTAAGCAAAATGATTTTTTTAAATCTGGGAATTTTAAGATTTGAGGTAGTTGAAAGCTGTACTGCACTTTTTAGTCCATATAAAAGGTGTATTTTTTCTACTTAATCTTTGTTGTGCTAGCGAGCTTTTTCACTAGCTGTTGAATTTACATTAAATTAAGAAGTCGAGCGGATTCAATATACTTTATGTGTGTACAGTTTATTTGTTAAGTAGGCGAAATATGGGGTGTGTAGGTGTAGCGAAATAAAGCGAGATGTGGCTGTTGATCAAATCAAAGCGATGAAAACTGAAGACGCAGGGTCTATTCAATATGCGAGAGAAGTGAGTGATTGATCAAGACGGTAGAACGGGAGTGCGATAATGATGACGACTGTAAAGAGGGCAGGCGGACCGAATTGCCCGTGCCATAATGCAAGCGAGAGAGAGAACGAAAGAAGCGATAGAAGCTCGGGCTGCTGCTGAGCCGAGCACGAGCAATATATAGAAAGAGAGAGAATGCGAGAGTAGTAGTAAATGAAGAAGGAGATAAAGAGGCGGAAGAACGGCCACTTCCGTGCATAGACATAGGCTAATTAACAATATTTATATGCAGTGGGCAATGCAAATAGCAAACAAACTTGGAATTACGTTAATTTGCTCCACTGGCTATTTTAAGGAATTTGTTGGGGAATGTCAGGCTGGGAAACCAGACACTCTTGTTAGATTGCGAGCTTGTTCCGCAAAATTTGGAATGAATATTCTATAGTAGTTACAAAATGCAACAAATCTTTTTATTTCGTCTGCTGATGTTGGTGTTGGGTAGTTTTGAATTAAGGTAAGTTACTTCGTGACTGAAAAATAAACATTTATCTGGGTCCAACTTTAGATTGTATTTTCTGCATATAGTGAATACATCTCTTAGGTTTTTTAACATGTGTTCTTCGGAACATCCTAAGACGACGAAGTCGTGCAGGTGTTAATAAAGCAAATGCCATGGTCATCATTCTTTGGAATGAGTTTGACGCAATTTGAGGCCGTAGGGCAATCTTTTGAATCTATATGTACCGTTGTCTGCTGTAAAAGATGTGACATTTCTTGATTGTTTCTCTAATTCAATTTGGTGGAAACTGTAGTAGCCAGCGGAATTTTGGGGAAAATTATTTTATGTTCATTCATGTCTTGTGGCACCCCAATAGTTTTAATGCCAAGCTGTAGCCGCTCTTAATCGATATTCACAGCTCTAGCGCTCTTATCTTTACTACACTCACGCATACTTTCGAGCTACTAACATTGGGTAGCGTAAACGGCAATTGTACGATTGCACAGTTAAGAACTGCCCAAGGCTGCTCCAAAGGTTCGAGAACATACGATAGCACAGTTAATGCAGAACTTAAAGCTCGGATGAAAACGCGCTTAGACGATCGTCTATTGATGCTACGAGCATTGGAGAAAATTTGATGAGCAAGTGCAGACGTGCAGATATTTACCGTGCCCAGATTGTTCGAAAAAACGTGCATTATATTTGTACCTGCTTTTACGCGCAGATAATTTTTAGAAGAACAACCGAACTACATATTCCATTTATGTATAATTGTTGCAATAGTGTATTGAAGTGGTTGCTGTGTATCTATTGCCAACGGTATTTTACCATGGTCGTGCAGTGCCCATGTGCTTACATAACCTATGTTGCAGGTCATATCTCAAGCTGCCCCACCGCGGTGAAGTCTGTCTAAGACTAACCTGGGAGCAGACTGAGGTAAACAGCTGTCGAGTTTAGTCCAACTGCAACCTCCTTGGCGGAGTTTCATCCTACTTCGTGGATCATCTATGGTCCAAATACTTGTGCACAGTCTTACTGAAGGTGCTGTCCTATTCCACTTGGAGCAGATAGGCTGGCCGCGTCTATATTGTTCTTTTGACCGTAGAATTTAATCATACAATAATCATACAATTAACGTAAATTAATAATCATGCAAACTGAGACAACTGGCTGATAGATATGAACGGTTTTTTTTCGAATTGGTTATTGTTGATATGTATTTAATTAATTTGAACATCTTAAACAGCCAACACCAACGCATACGTCTTCATTGGGCCCAACGAAACGCAAAATAAGATTTATGGCGGAGTGAGTAAAAACAAAAGAATGTGGTAATTTTATTACAATTTGTGTTCATGCTGTAGTATGAATACATTTATACATATTTATGGTTAACTATATTTGATCCTGTTCTCAGAGCCTAGAATGCACTTTTCTCTTAGTTTCCATAAAATTTAAGAGAACTCTTAAATCTGAGTGCCAATGAATACCGTTTTATAATACAAATTAATTAAGTCTACCTAATCTGTGTTATAACTCACATATATCCGCTATTTCGACTAAAGCCAGAGGCGTCCTGGGCTTTATTAAAAGATGGTCTAAGGAGTTCACCGACACTTATACCACTAAACTTTTATATGTATCCCTTGTCCGGCCTATCCTTGAATACGGTTCCTGCGTTTGGTCTCCGCATTATCAAAAATATCAGGATATGATTGAGTCCGTTCCAAAACAGTTTATCCTTTTTGCGCTGCGTGGCCTTAATTGGGACCCCTCACTACATCTTCCTTCTTATGAGAGTAGGCTCCGGCTCCTCGATATATATATATATATATATATCTATATCAATAGTTTCCCTTTCTTAACAATGATATAATAAATTGTATTTAATAATACCTAGTAGTTAAGCAATTATTACACTATTTAAATATTTATATTAATTTGCTTCCTTCGTGTTTGTAACATTATGGTTACCCAAACTGAAAATATCTTTTGTATTAGAATATGAAGTTTTATGAAGTTAAAATGAATAGGTCTGTCGATTATAATCGGTAATTACCAGGCAATTGCAACACCTATGCAGGAGTCTGATATCTCCATCGCAACACGGATTTTTTAAACATCGATCAACATTGACAAACCTTCTAGAGTTCTCTTCTGCAATTAACCGAGGATTTCAAAGCTCCCTGCAAACAGACGTAATTTTCACGGATTTTAGCATGGCTTTCGACTCCGTGAACCATTCTCTTCTCATTCACAAGCTTTCTTTAATTGGTTTCCCCACTAATCTTCTAAACTGGATTTCGTCATATCTTTCTAACCGCACACAACGTGTTTTGTTTACTAATGGGTTGTCGAATGTCGTTAATGTTACATCAGGAGTGCCACAAGGTAGTCATTTAGGTCCACTTCTGTTTATTTTATTTGTGAATGACCTTCCTCAAGTTATAACATACTCCTCTACTCTAATGTATGCTGACGATGTTAAAATCTATCTCTCCTACTCTGATTGGTACCTGCACAAACGCCTTCAACTCGACCTAAACGAGTTGCAAATTTGGTGTTAAACAAATATCCTCTTTCTGAACCTTTCTAAATGCAAATAAATAATTTTAACTGGGACTCGGATAGAATCTTGCCACCTTATCAATCGAGGCTACATCTTTTAGACCTCCCTTCTTTGCGCCATCGCAGAATTTGTAACGGCGTTATATTTGTACACAAGCTCCTAGTTGGGCTTGTTGATTCAGAAGCACTTCTTGGCCTGCTTGACTTTTCTGTTCCCCTTAGACCTACCCGTACCTTTCGTCCGTTTCGTTTACCCCTCTGTAGGTCTAATTACGCTCAACACGACCCTTTTCGAATCTTATGCTCTAATTATAATAATCTTTATCACACCCTATCCCCTGAATTATCCCTTAAATTTATAGCCAGTAAGATATACCTGTTCTTACAATCCACTAATTTTTAATTATTTCCTATATCCACTTTTTTTCCTTTAATTTTAATCATAATTTATGTTAGCAGATAGTTGCTAGTCCTCAATAAATAATAATATAAAAAATAACATTTGTAGCAAATATGTCTTCATGAGGAAAGTGTTTTTTTTTTTGACTATGATGCGCTCAACCATCTTCGACACATTAGTAAGTTTGGCAATTGCACAATTGGCCAGATTTTCTTTTTTTTGTCATAAAGTCCAATATTATACCTAGAGAGATGGAATGTATTGGAATTGGTTATAGAAGCACTTAAATTAAGTGAGCAAAATTTCAAGTCAATCCGACTACACCCACCTATAAAGCCCATATAAGGACACATTGTTGAGGAGTAGATTTTAAATGTACAATATGAAGAGAATGGGCTAAATTGGTCCAAAAGTGTAAATAACAAGTTTAAAATCACAGTTTGGAGTATACATTTGCGTAATTACTTTATGGCACAAATTGGCAGAAATTAATTTTTTAATCCATAATACACAAAACACTTTGGTTCGATTTTTTCTTAAATAAAACAAAAGAAAGACAATCCATAACTACAACATTGAAGGCATAATTCGAAATCGTTTAATAACAATTATATGTGGCATACCTTGACCTTTATTTTTCACTTTTTCAACAAAGACTTGGATAGCTGGTGCAAAGTTAAGTGAAAGCTTCCATGCCAATTTTGACAGACAAACAGCTAAGCAAACATCTGACATTTTTAGCGCTGCAAAAATGCACCGTTGCCACTAAAAAGTTGTTTATTGAGTCGATGTACCCTATGTGTGCCCTTTCAAAATATTAAGTCAAATTCCAAATAGAGCTTGCAACAATTTACGACTTTATGCAAAAAAAAACTGTAGTCTGGCCCATTGTGATTGGTCTATAACACTACTCGACACGATTTTTCCTCAAGAAACTAAACCAACTTTTTCTTAAAGATTTGGGGCCTAAAAATGGTTTGATGATTTTTTCTATGGCAGAGCTTTGTTTTGAAGAATTTTCGAAAACTGGTATTTTTTTAAAGCTTTTTTCAGAGGTAGCGATTCTTTTTTTATATAACTCTAGTATCTTACGTCTGGTTGTAAACTTCACGAGAGCAGCATTCTGTATGTTGTAACACTACTCAACAAAATTTAAATTTTTCTTTCCGCTGTGGACCAAAATGACTTTTTCTGATAGATTTCGGGATTTTTAAATGTGTTTAGTACTTTATTTTTTTATGGTTTAATTTTTGTTAAAGAATTTTTAAGATCTGGTTTTTTTATACCCGTTCTCAAAAAGAGTTAAGGGGTATATTAAATTTGTGGTAAAAGTGAATGTGTGTAACGCAGAGAAGGAAACGTTTCCAACCCCATAGAGTATATATATTCTTAGCAGGTGGTGCCGGGGGAAACAACTAAAAATCAATTTCTTCATTCTGGCTATAATTATGATCCGATCTTGTATTGTTTCTTGTTTGTCTTGTTTGTCGCCTGGATCTCAGAGACTATAAGAGCTGGGGCAACCAAATTTGGTTTCCAGACTCATGTGATATCACACTGTTACAAGTGTATTTCAAAATTTCGCCCCCCCCCCCCACCGACCACACAAAGGACGAAAATCTGTGGCAGGCACAATTTTAAAGATACGATTAAACTGAAAGGCAGTATCGTAGAGAATGACCATATCTGAATCAGATCGAATCATAATTATAGCCAGAATGAAGAAATTAATTTTCAAGTGCGTCCCCCGCCACCTACAGCAAAAGACCCGCTACTCATTCTCTTTCTCGCTCGCACAGTCTGCCGCGTTCAGTGCGTAAGCGCCCTCTAGCGGAGAAGATTTAGAATCTAAATGGTACATGTAAACTTAACATATTAGATGTATAATATACATAAGAGAATTATCAAAAAAATGTTAAATTAAATTCTAAAAAATCATAAGCTCAAAAATGTATATACTGACTGAGTACGGGTATGAGTAGAGTCGCGTCCCCAGAAGCGACTCACATGTTCCTTCTCGTTTCCTGTTCATGCATGATTTTTTTATATTTTATTCATTTTTAATTTTTGCTTAATTTCTTATCCATAAAATATAAAAAATGTATAGTACATCATCACGTGAGAACGGCTGGGCAGATTTGGTTTTAATTTTTATTCAGTTGTTCGTATTTGCCAGAAGAATTTTTCTACGTAAGATCGCGAAAAAAATTGATTTCAACGAATGTTTTTACGAAACAAAATTTAAGAAAAAACAACCTACGATCGCGAAAAAAAGGTATTTTGTATTTGTTTCTTTTATGGGAGTAGGCGAAAAGCCAATTGTCATAATCGAAGATTAGTTCTAAACTCGAGATATTACTCATCAATTCAGTTATAAAATGCCTGCTATTAGACGACGTACACGTCAGTAAGTAATCGGAATTTCTCTATTAGTCTAAAGCAAGAGGAACGTGCAGAAGTAAATAAATGGAGACGTGCCCATATTGTACAGGTTCGCGCTGCACAATTACCACCTCAAATTCGACCAGTAGACTTGAATCGCGCTGCTTTTGCAATAGCGCAATAGCCTACCAAGATCTTTACTGCGTTGATATAGGTTCATTGTCTGTCGTATGCCAGCATTGCAATGCATTGAAGTTTTCTATCTTTTTAGTGTTTCTTCAACTTTGGCATTTTTTAAAAATTTTTGTTGTATGGAATGGTATTATTTTTACACATGAACTTTCTAGTGCCATCTATTCTTAAGAAAATAAGCTATAAATAAAGAAAGTTGAGAAAAGAATGCCAACGGTACGCTTTTTTTAAGAATTGCGGGTTTTTAATTTTTAAGCGAGAAGGAGCGTGTGAGTCGCTTCTGGGGACTTATACCCGTACTCAGTCAGTATGTACTGTAACAAACCATGGTTCTAGCCATGGCTCGTCACAAACACTGGAGTATCAGCGCATCCACGCTGGCGGGAGACAATAACCAAACTGAGATACACAGAGCTAACGAACCATGGCTTAACCCCGGTATCCACAAGTAGTGGTGTGTCAGCACCTCCGGAAAATAGAATAGTCTTAAGCAACGCACGCAATTACTAAAATTTAAGAACTCTTGATCAACAGCTCTACCCATTTTGCATTATTTCGCGATCAGCGAAGACAGCACTAATTTCTCGGTCACCCACTTCTTGGCGATATTTCACAACCACTCGGCATCGAATCATCGACCTACCATTCATCTATCACCTTCTGCGATGCAAAGTTAGCAAAAGCTCATTTCTAAACCCAATTCCCAACTGCAGCCCGCACCTACTGCGATGCAGTCTCAGCAAAACACTTTCCTGAAACCCACTGA